CACGTGGTGACAAGTCCCTCCCGCGGCGCGAGGTCCCGTGGGCCTTTGGCGGGGGCGGGGCGGGAAGTCGTTATTTGAGGCCGGCTGTGTGCGGGGACGCAGGACCTTGGAAAGGTGGGAAAGCTGTAGCCCTTTGAGGGAGGGACTCAGGAGATGTTTGAGTGGTCGTGTTATTTGGATGGAAATAGTGTGCAGGGCCCCCAGCAGAGCTGTGGGTTTTGAGAGAGGTACTTTTCTCTCCAGTGAAGGAGAGGTGGGATTTGCCCTCAGGGCCTCCCTTCAGGTTATGCCTCAGTTCTATTGTCCCAGCCTGGTCTCATCCCGAGAGGTGGAGAAGGAAGGCCCGGCCTTTTTGGGAACCTTTCTTGTAGGACCTTATAGTCAGCCAAGTGTCTGCTCATAATCAGCTGGGAAAGTCCACGTTAAGGGTGGGTCTTCTGGAGGAGGGGCCTTGGGCTATAAAAGTGGTGATGGGGTGAGGAAAGGGTGGAGAAAAAGGAGCATTCAAAACTCCTGGAATCGTTAGTCCATGCAGCACCTCTTGGTGTACCAGTTAGGAAACTGGTAGTATGGATTCATCGATGAAGTTGGGGAGGTGTGAGCAGAGTCCAGAATAACTGAAAAGGAACTTCAGCAATTAAGGGGGAAAACGGTTGCAGCCTTTGAGAAAGGGAGGCATATCTTGCCATTATAGCCTAAAAGAGGGTAGTTTAGTTCAAAAAATTTTGCTAGTTTTCCTAAACTACCTCTACCTATATTATTGGCTTGTGAAGTATATGTAAATCTTTTTTATATATATGCATGAACTGACTTTTCTGTAGCTAATTCTTAGACAGGTTTTTAAATGATAAGAAGAGATTTATTTAACTTTTCAGTTAGGGGAGCCCCATAAAGAGGGAGTTCTGAAATCTATGGGTGATGAATTGATATTGAAGAAGCCTGGTGGGCCTTGCATGGGGGTGGATTGGGGAGAGCTTCATCCCTGGTTACCTGGGGAGAGAAGGGTGTGAAGTGTAACCTGGGAGACACAGCAAACATGGTGACTCAAAGTGGAAAGGGTCTGTGCCTGGAGAATGTAGTTTTGGTGCAGTTTGAAAGAAGGTTTTATAGAAGGAAATTGAATAGACTTAAGCAACTGAAGAGATCAAGGGGGTGGAATAGTTTAGTGTAATAGTGGACTGGAAAAAAAATTAGAACTCTGGTATAAAACCCGTTGCCATCGAGTCGATTCCAAGTCATAGCGACTGTATAGGACAGAGGAGAACTGCGCCATCGGATTTCCGAAGAGTGCCTGGTGGATTCAAAATGCCAACCTTTTGGTTAGCAGCTGTAACTGTTAACCACTGCACCACCAGGGCTCTCTGGTATAGAAGAGAGAGGCAAAAAACAAAAAACTCACCTAGTGGATGATAACTAAATATTTATTGACAGCATAATTTTATTTTATGGTTATATTAGCTGTAAACTTGTTTGTAAACCAAAGGATCATTCGCATACAAAAAAAGGGCCTCCTTCTGCAATAAGTACTTACCTTACAGGACTCGGTTCTCTATAAGAGAACCTGTTAGGGTGGAAAATATAAGAACTAAATTTAAGAAGGGTTTGGACCTCTAAGGGATTGCTAAAGACGGGTGTTTAGGATACTCTAGGCTCAAACAGAAGTGAATGTGTTATAGGAGGCTGGTTGGACGGGGCAGGGCTGGCAGGAAGTCGGTTATTTGAGGTGGGGTGTGTGGGAGGAACTCAGGACCTCTAAAAGGTGGGAAGGCTGTAGTCCATTTAGGGCGGGACTCAGGAGGGGTTTTAGTGGCCGTGGGTGTTATTTGAATGGAAATAGTGGGTCAAATCAATGGTCTGACCCAAAACGGGCCTATCTATGGAAAATAGCGCCTAGGACAATTAGTGTTAAATTGTCGAATGATCTCACAACTGGTATGGAAACTGTGCTGGCCAATAGAAACTGCTTGTTGACGCCCATCTCAAGCAGCGCCCAGGGCATGCGCCCTACCTGTGGGGGCACCCCCACACCGAGATAGGCCTCTGCCAAAGTAACTTTTTTTTTTTTTTTTTTTTTAAGTGCTTTGTGAGTCTGCCTTAAAGTAAAAGAAAAACAATTGGGAATGTTTAATCTTTTATAAAATCCTGGCAGGTAATTAACCGAACAGGATCGACACCGCTGTCCTCTTGAGCCTTTCAATGGATCCTGTTCGACCACCGTTCTGGGGCCCTTCTCCTATCCACCCATCTCAGTGTGTACGGATGCCAGGCTCATGGCCACAAGTTCCTAAACACTTAGATTCAGCTCTGGGCAGGGCAGGACCTGCAGGCAGAGGCAATGTATTTGGAAAACCAGAGGAACCAAGCCCACAGAATGGGCCAACACAAAAGGTAAAAACACATCTGGATGCATAGTAGTAGCATATGGCTTACCTGCTTGATCAAATGAAATGGTGAATTTGAATGTGCTTAGAAAACTGTGAAGTCCATACAAAAACAAGGGTTGAGGGTCCCCCCACCCCACCCCCTTTAACAAGTAGCTGCATCTTCTGGGCATGTAGTATTTCAAATCCGAGGGTTGAGGGTCTAGAAAAAGTGCCTTATAAATGAACATTAGATGGACTGAATCCTTTTCTAGCTTTAATACATACATACATGCTGGACAGGTTTAAAGATACAGTCTTCTGCTCTCTTCTGAGTGTTTAGATTTTAGATTTGCTTAGAAGTAATTCCTGCCTATGAGGTAGCAATTGTTAGACTGGTCCCTTTGGGAAGGCCCAATTTTAAAGAAAAAGAGCATCTTCAGCTGTTGCTGCTGCTGTGTGTACACTTGATTGTGTCTGCAATCCTAATCTCCTAATTATGTAGTAATTTTAAGAACAATATTTAACTATAATGAATAAACCTTAAATAATAAAGATTTGGCAAATACAGAGAGTATCTAATAATAAAGTTATGAACATTTTAAGTAGAGTTGACAATGTTAAATGTAATGTTTTGTAAGAAGAAAAATTTATGATAGTAATTTTGTATTTTTACTCAGATGAATTGCTTAGTATTTGTGGCTCTTATTCATGTGACAGCTCTGATTGATTTAATAGCAGTAAGCTTTCAAGACTGCTACCAGAAAACAGTAGCAGGTCTTGTTGGAGGTTGTTGTAAAAAATCCGAAAATCTCTGGTACTACTAAATGATCAGGTTTTTTGAAAATTTATTAACCGGTACACTTGCTTCCACTTACTTAGGGGGACAGGAAATAAACTAGAAAAATAGAAAAGTTAATTCTGTTCTGTTACATTCTTTTATAATGTACATCAAATCACGAACTTTTAACCATAGCTACTTATGCTTAGGAGCCTTGGTGGTGCAGTGGTTAAGAGCTTGGCTGCTAACTGAAAGGTCAGCAGTTCAAACCCACTAGCTCCTCCATGGGAGAAAGATATGGCAGTCTGCTTCCATAAAGATTACAGGATTGGAAACCCTGTGGGGCAGTTCTGCTCTGTCCTGTAGGGTCACTATGAGTCAGAATCGACTTGATGGCAGTAGGTTTGGTTTGGTACTTCTGTTTAGAAACATAATGACATGGCTATAAGTATTTTATAAGCTATTTTTAACCCTTACTCTTGTAATATTTATAGAGTTTGAAGGTGATTTTTATTAATTTACCAGGACTTTAAGAAAGCCACCAGTGTTTCTGGGGTTTTAAATTATGTCTCAGAATAACTTTATTCTTTGGCTTTCCACAGGAATCTGTGGGTTTAGTCTCCATGTTCCAGGGACTGGGCCTGGAAACAGTGTCCCATACCCCTCTAATAAGAGAAATGCCTCCTCTAGGTAAGTGGAAAACTAACTTGAGAAATGTGGTGGTATGTATGATTGCTTTATTCTTAAATTCATAAAGTTTATCTTCAGAAAAATTACTTTGAAACATGTTCAATTTACAATTATAGTTGGGGTTTGGCTCTTCCATTCAGGTAGAGGCATTTTTGGTCGAGGCTTATCTACTAATATGGTGCGCAAGGACAAAGAAGAACCTCATCCCGCTTTTCCAGATCCATCAGTGTTGGCAGCTGGAGATAGCAAGTTGGCAGAGGCCACCATTGGTTGGAATAGGTGGGTAAAGTTACCTTCTCAGGTAGCCATTATATTCAGATGGAATATCTCTATAAAAGTCTAAGGAGAAACTCTAAAAAGGGTTGCATGTTTTTATATTAAGGAATGGACGTTTTCCAAGAGTAGTCAGTAGCTGCAGATTCAGTCATTTGAGAAGAGTAAAAAGCAGTTTTCCACTGAGCAGTTCACAACTTCATTTGCTTTTTTAAGAAGTTGAGTTGATTTTAGAGGTTCTTGAATCTGGGTAAGTCAAACTTTTACCTCAATTCTGCTATGGACAATGGTTCTGAGGGTCAGTATTAGTAACAGTTGGCAAATGAGTTATGGTGAGCTGGTTGAATGGATGCAGGTCAGGGGTGGAAGGGAGGAGTGTGCTGTCACAGTATAGGGTGAGCAGTTGGGGTCACATAACTATGTATAAATTTTTGTATGAGAGACTATCTTGAATTGTAAACTTCCACTTAAAGTACAATTAAAAAAAAAAAGAGTCATGGTGGCATATTGAATTTCGAGGGAATCTCAAGGCTGTGCTTGGGTTCCTGCTGTTGACTCTTCCAGGAAGAGAATGTACACTGGAGGGAATAATTTAGATGGGCCATAGGTAGTTGAATGATTAAGAAGGTACTGTTCTTTGCCTCTATTTGCAATATTTCAGAATGCTTGGAAGAGGAAATTTGGATGTTTCTTTATTACCATTGGGAAGAGCAGCTGGGGGGATAGGCCGAGGAATATACAGACCTCCTAGCGCACTCAGCCTGGCTTCCCGGGACCCACCACAGTTGTCATCATCACCACCTCTGCCCCAGCCCTCACTACACTCTCCAGATCGCCCTCCAGCTGTGACTGTCGAACACAAGGAAAAGTAAGTCAGGAACACTGCCATCTCGGGTTAATCACTGCTGTTGTCGGTAGCCTCTGTGTTTTGGCTAGTGTGTATATGTTGTAAACAATGTTTCTGTTGTGTCTTAAATCTTCCTTAGGTGCTAGATACTGCAGGGTTTTTTCCCCTCAGTGGGAAGATTGACAAACAGGAGAGACAATTCCTGATGAGGTGAAATGGGTTCGACAGTATATATAGTATATACCAGAGAGTAGGATCATTATTTTTCATTTCCTTTCCAATTCAGACATAGACAATTCTTTGTCGTGTTAAAGATAAGGAAATCATTTAGGAAAAATATTTTGCAGCTCATCTTTCTTTATAGAGCTATTTCTTATGTTCTTAGTTAGCTGACCTAGCTTATTCCAGTAATAGTACTAGGACAAATAAGGTAACCTTGCTTCTCTAAGAATTTCTCTTCTAGCCTTCAAAGCTTACTTTTGTTTGTTTTAATTCTTGGTTTGTGTAGCTGTAAGCAAAGTGTGAAATGTTGTTATTTTCCCCAGTCTTTCTTATTTATTTATTTTGCATTTGTGTGCTTTTTGTGTTTTTGTTTTGCTTTTTTTCTGTTAGTATATGTGGATACTTTTGTTTTTAATTTTTGTTTTCCAGAGAGCTTTTTGTGAAGCAAGGGTCAAAAGGAAGACCTCAGTCTTTGGGTCTGAACCTCATCAAAATACAGTGTCATAATGAAGCAGTTTATCAATATCATGTGAATTTCAGGTATTCATAGCTTTTTCTCTATATTGCTGGCTTCTTAGAGAACAGTAATAAAATAATTTTCGTGGAATAACTGAGTATTGTTCTGAATAATTCCTGATTATTCCCTCCCCCCAGCAATGCATGTACTCATACCCTTGAAATAAGTTTAAAGTTAACTTTAAAAAAATATTTAGTTATATTACCAATTCAGAAGTTTATGCATGAGGCCAGAAGTACATTTACTGTGAAGTTAATGAGGCTTCGGGCGGCAGTGATGGTGGTTCAGTGGTAGAATTCTCCCCTTCCATGTGGGAGACCCAGATTCAGTTCCCGGCCCATGTGCCTCATGTGCAGCCACCCCCCATTTGTCAGTGGAAACTTGTGTGTTGCTATGATGCTGAACAGGTGTCATTGGAGTTTATAGACTAAGACAGACTAGGAAGAAAGACCTGGTGATCTACTTCTGAATATCAGCCAGTGAAAACCCTGCAAAGCACAGTGGTCCATTCTGCAACCGAACATGAGGATGATGCAGGACCAGGCAGCATTTCATTCAGTTGTGCATGGGGTCGCCATGAGTTGGGAGCTACTCAGTGGCAAGTAACAACAGTGAAGCTTAAGTTCAGGACCCTTTAGGTACATATACCACTTTAGCTAATTTTCTGTTGGTAACTTTGTATTACTTTGCTTAAGGATGGTCCCGCAAATTGTGTAAGATCCACACCCCACAAAACCTAGATCCTCTCCTGCATGAGTCTTCATACCAACATTTGACGTCTCCACAGAGAGAGTCTAGGGTTAAATTCAAGGGTGAGAAAATCAGGGAAAATAATTTTATATCAATAAGTTTAGGATTTATCCTATTTTTTTTTAAATTAAGAATTTATATTATTTGTGTTTTCTTTTAAGATCCTTAGGAGAGTCTCTAGCTAGAGGCTATTAGCTGAAATTATAAAAATGAATATTTTAAAATATCTGTGGAGAAAATGAGAGGATGGAAGCTATTTTGAAGGACAGTTATTAATTGGTGGTACAAGAGGAAGAAGTGGAGTGAAGGAGTGCGGAAGGGAACCGTTAAGGGGAATACCCTTGAACACAGGCTATAAAAATTAAAGGAAGGATCCATTTGAATAAGGAATAGTAGTTGGTTGACTTTGGCCACAGGAAAAATGTTACTGGATTTGCTTTCCAGGGCATCCTTGGTGATTTTCTAGTAGCTATGCTAGATTTATGGAAAATAAGCTATATTAAAAGAACAAAGGACAGCATAGGTCATGAGAAACAGGTAGGGAATTGGCCACTCATGAGAAGAGTCTGTAAGAAGAGTGAGAAATGGAGTGATAATTAAAGGGGGTAGCAGGATTGCATTGGAGATTTCAGCAAGGTAAGAAAATTGAGCACATATGACAGGTAAAGGGAATGTTCCAGAGAAGAGGGTAAACTGAACCCTGAGAGGGGGAGGTAGTGGGAACATGAGATGAGCATTGAAGAGGGGGAAGAACCATTTTTCTGAAAACTGCTTGACAAATGTTAATGAAATAGAAAGGTGTACAAGAGAACTCACAGATCTCTGCATGAACGGGAGGTGGAGAAGGCGTGGATTTACAGATTTCCAGATTGTAGATGTGTCCCTTTGAAGCCCCAATGTGAAGATGATGCCGGGTCATTGAGAGAATACTGAGAAGACGTATCACAATGGACTGGTCATCCTGTAGCTTTCTCATAGTACATGAAGGCAAATTTAAATACTGTGGTTAAGCATACTCTATATATATGAATTTTTTTTGAAGTGTTTTGAAATGTGATGTTGGCATGTGAATGCTTATTTTTGGGGACAATTATGTTGGATTAGCACTTTTTTTTTTTTTTTTAAATCTTATGCTTCAACATACCTGACTCTTTCTAGCCTTGTATGTGGTTAAACTTCACAATTGTAGAGCAAGGTTGTGCGTTGTTGTGGTATAATAGGACAGTTATTGTATAAAGTAGTTACTTGAGTTTTTCCAAGCTGTAAGCTTTGTGACAGTGAATCAATAGAAAATTGAAATTGCCATGAGTGAAAAAAGGTTAAATTAGAATCCTGTTTTTTGAAAATATTTTTAAAATGTGTTTATGCAGATTTTAAAGTGGGGGTTGGCAAAGTATGGCCGACTTACAGGCCAGATCTGGCCCACTGCCTGTTTTATTGGGATATGAGTATGCTCATTTGTTTATGTGTTGTCTGTGACTGCTTTCATGCTACGACGGGCAAGGTTGAGTTGTGACTGAGATCGTATTGTCTGCAAAACCTACAATATTTACCATCTGGATCTTCACAGAAAAAGTTTGCTGAGTCCTCATTAAGGTTTGGATGAATATACATTGACATGTTAAGGCAGTTATCTTCAGGTGATGGAATTATGGGTTGTCTTTATTTTCTTTTCAGTTATATTTTCTGATATTTCTACAGTGAGCAAGGTATACTTGGTTCAGATTTCTCTTTGTATTCAGATTTATTTGAATTTTTTAATGTGACCACTAGATGGGGCAGCAGTTACAAATTGGTACTTCTGTAATATGTAACGCACAGCTGTAGTAAAGATTGCTGTTTCATTTAAACTGAAGTAAAATCCTCTCTGTTATTTTCTAGCCCCAACGTGGAGTGCAAAAGCATGAGGTTTGGCATGTTGAAGGACCATCAAGCTGTCACCGGAAATGTTACTGCTTTCGATGGATCCATTCTGTATCTGCCTGTTAAACTTCAACAGGTGAGACCAAATAGGAAATATACTTTTGGATAAAACCTAAGAATGCTCTGGTGCTCTGAGTAATGGGAAATCATAGAATCCCTGAACATTTGATTTGTACTTTCCTATTCTTAGAGGGAAGACAGATTTCTGCATATCATAACTGGGAAACTTCTTCTTTTGAGTTCTCAAGAAGTACCTTCTCACCTGAGAGGAGTGGTTGGGAATCTTTGACCTCAGTAATAAAGAATATTTTAAAATTCCAAATTCAGAGGGATTCTATTGCTAGTTCTTTATTGGGTTTCTATGACCAAATAATTTCCTAAATCCTAGTTGCTGCTGTGATTTTGTCCAACGTGGGCAGCAAAGTGAGGGAAAAAGCAGAAAAATTGTTTACAATAGTTTAAGGTCCTTTAGAACACAGTTGGATTAGATTAAGACTTGGTAATTTTGTCGTTTCTTTTCATTTGTATGTATTTATTTGTTAGACTCTTGAGTTAAAAAGTCAAAGGAAGACTGATGGTGCTGAGATCTGCATTAAGATTCAGTTGACAAAGATCCTGGAGCCCTGTTCTGACTTGTGCATCCCCTTCTACAATGTTGTTTTCCGTAGGTGAGCGAAAAGCTGATTTTATTTTCCTAAGATCCTTTCCGTTTAACCTCTTACATTTGTGATAATGCTCTTCAGGAAGCTTGGACATCATGACACTACAGTGTATAGATGGGTGTGGAAGCATTTAATAAATAGATGGTATTGCAACTAACTGTCTCAAATATTATGTCACAAGTAATAGGCCAGATTTGGATACATTAAAGTAGGATTGGAGATAACTGGCTACAGGAATGGGATTCCTTTGGAGTCATTCAGGAACTTTAAAACAGAACCTAATTTTCTACTAGGAACACACGTAATTCTCTTTGCCAGACTGAATGGTGAAAAATAATGTCAATTGAGCCTGAGAAATAAATTACAGATTTTTGGTTGGCTAATAAGAAAGGGCTGCAGTCAGTGCATACACCCCAAGATGCTTTGGTCCTTTTCATTTTTATTTTAGCAAGATTTTTCTCAGCATAAAACCTCTATGGTTTGGAGAGCAACATTTCTGACCCTTTAGACTTCCAGAATAAAATAGTCAGCTGCCGGACCTACCGCCATCAAGTCGATTCCAACTCATACGACCCTATAGCGTAGAGTAGAACTGCCCCATAGGGTTTCCAAGGAGTGGCTGGTGGATTCTAACTGCCAGCCTTTTGGTTAGCAGCCATAGTACTTAACCACTGTGCCACCAGGGCTCCAAAATAGAGAAGTGGAGATTAATTTTTTTATTCTTCTGTTAGAAAATCTACTCTTAATTTTTATTTCAGGGTAATGAAACTTTTAGATATGAAGCTTGTGGGGAGAAACTTCTATGACCCTTCAAGTGCTATGGTACTACAACAACACAGGTTGGTGGGGTTTTTTTCCCTTCCTCACTTTTGAATGTTTTGGGAAGAAATTTTTCATTGTAACCATTGTGTTTAGGACAAAAATCTCAGTAATATTATGTAATAGTGAATATTATTTGTCAGTTAAGTCTCTTAGTTTTTTTAGTAAGTTTGTAATGATGTTGATTTAATTTAATTTGTTCCTGGTGCTTTCTCATTACTAGGGAAGAGCCATATCTGCACAAAGTATTGTTTCAAGTCAGGGATGGAAATAACCATGTTTCTTCTAGAACCCTAGGGTAAAGACCACCTATCTCTTAAGATTGCAGATCTGGCCAGGCTATGCAGCTAGCATCCGGAGGACAGATGGAGGTCTTTTCCTGCTAGCTGATGTTTCCCATAAGGTCGTCCGGAATGATTCTGTGCTGGATGTCATGTGAGTGAATGGTGGGATCTACCTTTAACATGCTGACAGTTTTCTGAAAAGTTCTGTAATAGCTGGTAAGAAATATAAATTGGAAATTGTTAGATTTGGGTTTTTAATTGTAGAATAGAGCAAGAATACCAAATGGGCATCTGAATGGAGATCTTCTGTATGTTCACTGAGGAGGAATTTTATTTAAGTCTCTGGTTAAGAAGACTTAGTTTAATATGCACACAAGAGTTTTTGTTTAATAATACGTAACATATATGAATACGGTAAATATAGATGTATATAATTTTGTAATGGCTGCATGAAATCCTATCTTGTACATAAATCGTGTGCATCTCTGATTATTTTTTAGGATGTATGCTTAGAAGTGAAATTACTTAATAAAAGGGATGAACGTTTTTAAGGCTTTTACTATATATCTAATCTAACTGGTATTTCAATATATGTTGACAAATTACCTTGTAGAAGATTTATTCAGTTTATTTTCTCACCGACTGTGTCCAACTGCTGGGTGTTATCAAGCTGATAAATCTTTGCTTATCTGATGAATGCATTCATTTGTTCAAGATACACTTACTGAGCTCCAGTTATGTACTGGAGTCTTGGGATATATCAGTTAACAAAACAAAGGAATCTCCCTCCCCCCATGGAGCTTAAATGTAGTCAGATAAAATAAACAATAAATAATATAATAAGTAAATTGTGTAGTGCATTCACAGTGATAAGAGCTATGGAAGGAATCAAGTAGGAAACAGAGTATGGGGGACCAGTACTAGGGGTGGAGAATTAGAGAGTTGGAATTTTAAGGAGAGTGGTCAGGCTCATTTGTGCAAACACTTGAAAGAAGTGAGGGAGTTAGCTTTGTGAATGTATGGGAGAAGGGAATTCTTGGCAGACGCAACAGCTTGAGATGGTATCTTAGTTATCTCTTGCTGCTGTAACAGAAATATCATAAGTGGATGGCTTTAACAAACAGAAATTTATTTTCTCACAGTTTAGGAGGCTAGAAGTGTGAATTCAGGGTGCCAGCTGTAGGGGAAGGCTTTCTCTCTCTGTCAGCTCTGGAGGAAGGTCCTTGTTTCTTTGCGCTGCTGCTCCTGGGCAGTCTTCTCCTGGCTTGGCATGTGTTTTCTCCATCTCTGCTTTGTATCTCAAAAGAGAGTGACTCAAAACACACCCTACACTAATGGTATCGCATTAACCTAACAAAGGCAGCCCGGTCCCAAAGGTCTTAATCAACTCCAAGTCCAAAATCTCATTTTCTAAATCATCTAAATCAAATATGGGTGAGACTTTAGGCATATTCCATCCTGGGGCAAAATTCCACTTCATCTGTGAACTGTGAAATCTAGAATGCATGTTATTTGTTTCTAAAATACAATGGTGGAACAGGCACAAAGTAGACATTTCTGTTACAAACGGGAGAAATTGGAGGGAAAGAAGGGATAATGGGCATCAAGCGAGTTCAATACCCAGCAGAACAATTTACATTAGCTCTCAAGGTTTGAAAATAATCCTCTCTTCTCCGAGACCATATGGGCATTGGCCATGACCTCTGGATTCTGGGTGGAGGCCCACAGGCCCTGGGCTTCAGCACTGTCTTCCAGGCCCTCTGGGACAGCAACTCTTGCTCCCTTGGCTTTAGTTGGCCCCATACTCTTAGTCCATCTGAGTGGTGACCCCGCCTCCTCGGCCCCAGCAGGCCCTGTTCTTCTGCTTCTTGGGCACAGAAGCCCCACCCCCTCAGCTTTGGGCAGCAGCCCCATCCCCCTGGCACACTTAACAGCAGCCCCACACTCCAGAACGTAGTTGGTAAAGATCCCACTTTTTGAAACCTAGGAAGCTGTAGCCCCCACTCTTTCAGATACAGGAGACCATGGACGTGCCCTTTGAAACCGGGAAGGCGTTGCTTCCTGTGCTTCTTCCAACAGTTCTGTGATCTCCGAGCTGCTCCAGGTATAGTCCTTTTCTTTTCTTGGAGGACAACAGATGTAGCTCCTTAGGCCTGTTTCCTGCCTGTAGAATTCTAAGAGGCAGACAGCATTCTTTTCCTTTCATTCTTTCTCTGTCTCCTTTGGTCTAAGCTCATGGGTTTTTGGCTGTGGTAGTTGGTTAGATCCATCAGTCACAGGCTTAACCTCTTTAACAAAACGTGTAGTCACGTCTTTGGTGAACATTCTAGGACACGTGTCCTTAGTTTGTACAACAGAATTTTCCAGATCTTTAAGTTCTGTTTCTATTTTGCACAGTTCATTTTTAACTCCATCTCGTTCCTCTTGCATTTTACTGTAGGCGGCAAGGGGAAACCACACGGCCTGTTTGAGATCTTACTTAGAAGTCTCATCAGCCAAATATCCAAGTTCGTCACAAGTTCTACCTTCCACCAAACATTTGAACATAATTTGGACAAGGCCTTTGCCGTGACATAAAAAGTATCACCTGTCTCCATTGCCCAATCACATGTTCATCATTTCTTTTAAAGCCTCACCAGAAGCACGTTTAACATCCACATTTCTAGCAATATTCTGTTGCTGGTGCCATATGTACTCTCCAAGACAATAGGGACTTTCACTATAGCTCTCCTCACTTCCTTCTGAGCCCTTGCCTGAATTGCCTTTGCCATCCACAATTCTACCAACAGTCTCTTCAAGGCAATCTAGGCTTTTACTATTAGGCACCTTAAAACTCGTCCAGCCTCTACCCATTACCCAATTCCAAAACCACTTCCAAATTTTAGGTATCTGTTAGAGCAGCACCCCACTCTTCCAGTACCAATTTCTGTCTTAGTTGTCTGCGCTATTCTAATGGAAAGATCACAAGTGGGTGACTTTAACAAACAAATTTATTTTCTCACAGTTTAGAAGGCTAGAAGTCTGAATTCAGGTGCCAGCTCTAGGGGGATACTTTGTTGGCTCGGGAGGAAGGTGCTTGTCTCTTTGAGCTTTTGCTCCTTGATGATCTTCATGTGCCGTGGCATGTGTCTTCCCCATCTCTGCTGCTTTCACTTGCTTGTTTTAATCTCTTTTATATCTCAAAAGAGATTGACTCAAGACATACCCTACACTAATCCTGTATCATTAACGTAACAAAGACAGCCCGTTCCCAAAGGGGATTATAACCACAGGCATAGAAGTTAGGATTCACAATACACCTACTCCTCACTTACTATCTCTTTATCCAACATTTTGCATTTACGACAACGATGGTAAAAAATCTAATATCCCACTATTTTGTGCATTAATGAGGCAGCAGGTATGGTAGAAAGGGCTGTAGAGCATCCCCTCCTTGAGGAGGGTGTCAGGTTAGCCTCTTGCAGGTGTTGCCTTCCTCCAGTTGCCCCCCTCTGTGGCCACGTCCTCCAGGAGACTCACAGGCAGCACTGAGCCAGCAGGCACCTGTTCTGGGTTCCCATCTCCTGTGCAGCCTGAGGCCCTGCAGCTCAAAATTGCTTGGGGTGGGGAGGGAGGAAAGAAAGAGGCACCTGAGAGGGTATTTGGAAGAAATGCATGTGAGTTTCATGACATCCCAAAGTAAGCTGAACTGGACCTGAAGGCTTCACCTCGGGGGTGGATTGAGTGGCCAGGCTTCCAGCACCCTTACAGGAATCCCTGAGGCTTGGTGACTTGCTAGGATGGAAGGGCAAAGCAGGCTCCAGGATCCTGAATGCAGGGCTTCCAGGTGTGGGAATGGAGCCTTGGAGGAGGCTCCACTGGGGAAGCTCTGACCCAGCACAGGAGGAAGGTGAAGTGGTTAAGCCATGGTCCCTCCAGTCACACAGCCTGGCTTTATGCAGCTTTGTCTCCTCCAAGCCGCCTCCTCCACAGAGGAATAATCCTAACTGGGTTCATCACAGTGATGAGCACATCAGTAAATCTTAGCTGTGATTATTTCTATGATCATATATCTAAATAAAAAAAAAATTGGACAAATGGATGGTTTGAAAACACAAAAAAATCCCCCATTGTTGCATAACACTGATTTTTGTATGATGACCTGGTTTTGGAACCTAACCATGTTGATAAGTGGGAGTAGGTATACATAATTTTGGGGGACACAATTCGGTCCATCACATGATGTCTCCAGTAGCATTTCTGATTTTAGTAATTTGACTCTGCTCTCTCTCTCTCTCTTTTTTAATAGTTTAGCTAAAGGATTATCAATTTCGCTAATCCTTTCAAAGAAATGACTTTTGGTTATGTTGATTTTCTTTATTGTTTTTTATTCTGTATTTCATTTATCTCCACTCCAACTCCAATCTTTTTTATTTCCTTCCTTCAGCTAGCTTTAATTTTAGTTTCCTCCTCTTTTTCTAGTTTTTTAAGCTGTACTGTTGTTGTTATTGTTGTTAGGTGCTGTCAAGTCACTTCTGACTCATAGTGATCTATGTACAGCAGAACGAAACACTCCCTGGTCCTGTGCCATGCTCACAATCATTGTTACATTTGAGCTCATTGTTGCAGCCACTGTGTCAATCCATCTTGTTGAGAGTCTTCCTCTTTTTTGCTGACTGTCTGCTTTACCAAGCATGATGTGCTTCTCAAGAGTCTGGTCCCTCCTAATAACATGTCCAAAGTATGAGACAGAGTCTCACCATCCTTGCTTCTAATGAGCATTCTGGCTGTGCTTCTGCTAAGACAGATTTGTTTATTTTTTTGGCAATCCGTTGTGTATTCAGGATTCTTCACCAACACCGTAATTCAAAGGCATCAATTCTTCTTCAGTCTTCCTTGCTTATTGTCCAGGTTTTGCATAAATATGAGGTGACTGAATACACCATGGCTTGAGTCAGGCACACTTTAGTCCTTAAACCTGTACTTAGAGGCAGTCGTTCAAACAGAACAAAGGGATATTGCATGGTTTAAAGTTAGGAAAGGTGTGCTTCAGGGTTATATCCTTTCACCGTGCTTATTCAATCTGTATGCTGAGCAAATAATCCAAGAAGCTGGACTATATGAAGAAGAATAGGGCATCAGGATTGGAGGAAGGCTCATTAACAACCTGCG